TTTATTACAAAAGCAAAAGACAGCAACATAAAACTAGTGCAATATTTGACACAGTTTGATAAATGAACACATCAATATCTGGTTGGATGGAGCAGCATTCTCTCAATGAATTCTCAAGGTGCTCATCAGATATTTTGGTTCCAATTTTGCCCTTCGTGTGCTTCATCCTTAAAAATAGCTGCTTGCTAATAGAAGTGCTGTTGAAAACTGATGACACGAATAAGGCATGATTGTGAAGAGCGGAAGACTTTTCTTTGGGAACATGAAAACTTAAAAAGATTGAAAAAAAATAAAAACTTAAAAATTTTTAAGCAAGTTTAAGATTTTGTGTTGGGTCACATTCATAGCCATCTTGGGCCACAGGGTTGGACAAGTCAGAGGACAAGGAGGCGCTCTTTACGTCGGAAAGGTTTCTTCACAGTAAGAGCTGTGAGAATGTGGAATAGACTCCCTCAAGAGTTGGTTGTGGCCAGCTCAGTGGATTGCTGTAGGAAAGTCCTGGATTCTTTCTTGGATACACAGAATATAACTGGATATAACATTTATAGGTAAAGTTGATCCAGGGAATATCCGATTGCCTCTCGGGGGGATCAGGAAGGAATTTATTTCCCTGCAGGAGCAAATTGGGTCGTGCTTTGTTGGGTTTTTTTTTGCATTCCTCTGGATCAACTGTGGGTGTAGGATTATATCTTTTTTTTTTTAATGGTTGAACTGGATGGACTTTTGTCTTTTTTCAGCCAGATTAACGCTTTACACCCTGTTCCAAATTATTATGCAAATTCTATTTAAGTGTCACAAAGATTAAATATTTTGTTTTTCAGTGTAACTCATGGATGGCATTGTGTGTCAGGGCTCTTTTGATCACTGAAAACAATCTCAGACACCTGTGATAATTAGATTGGCCGGTGAGCCCAATTTAAGGAAAAACTCCTAAAGGAGGGTGTTTCCACATTATTAAGCAGAGCACCATTTTCAAGCAATATGGGGAAGAAAAAGGATCTCTCTGCTGCCAAAAAGAGTGAAATAGTTCAATGCCTTGGACGAGGTATGAAAACATTGAGATATTTCACGAAAACGTAAGCGTGATCAAGACACTATTAAGAGATTTGTGGCTGATTCAGAGCACAGACGGGTTCGTGCAGATAAAGGCACATTGAGGAAGATTTCTGCCAGATCCATTCATCGGATCAAGAGAGCAGCTGCTAAAATACCATTACATAGCAGCAAACAGATATTTGAAGCTGCTGGTGCCTCTGGAGTCCCACGGACATCAAGGTTTAGAGTCCTCCAGAGTCTTGCAACTGTGCATAAACCTTCTATTCGGCCACCACTAACCAATGCTCACAAGCAGAAACGGCTGCATTGGGCAGAACAATACATGAAGACTAATTTTCAAACAGCCCTGTTCACTGATGAGTGCCGTGCAACCCTGGATGGTCCAGATGGATGGAGTAGTGGATGGTTGGTGGACGGCCACCCTGTTCCAACAAGGCTGCAACTTCAGCAAAGCGGTGGTGGAGTCATGTTTTGGGCTGGAATCATGGGAACAGAGCTGGTCAGCCCCTTTAGGGTCCCCAAAGGTGTAAAGATGACCTCTGCAAAGTATGTGGAGTTTATGACTGACCACTTTCTTCCCTGGTACAGAAGGAAGAACTATGCTTTCCGTAATAAAATCATCTTCATGCATGACAATGCACCATCTCATGCTGCAAAGAATACCTCTGCATCAATGGCTGCTATGGGGATAAAAGGAGAGAAAGTCATGGTGTGGCCTCCATCCTCCCCTGACCTCAATCCTATTGAGAACCTTTGGAGCATCCTCAAGCAAAAGATCTATGAGGGTGGGAGGAAGTTTACATCCAAACAGCAGCTCTGGGAGGCTATTCTGACATCTTGCAAACAAATTCAAGCAGAAACTGTCCAAAAACTCACAAGTTCAATGGATGCAAGACTTGTGAAGCTGCTATCAATAAGGGCTCCTATGTTACAATGTAACGTGACCGGTTCAAATGTTTAAAAAGTTAAAATGTTGTTAAAAGTTTGATTGAAATAGCTTTTGATTTCAGTAAATCTGCTGCAAACACAACAAATGACAATTTTCAGTTCTTTACAACCTAGAAAGTGTTTTGAAACTGTGTGGAATAATTTGGAACAAAAATCCTGTTATCATTAGGAGGTTTGTTCAATAAAATGTGAATTGTACTCTTATAGTTGATAACATGAGAATTATGCTGTTATTTACATCAGTTATTTAGGTAAATGAGAAAAATATAATTTGCATAAGAATTTGGAGCAGGGTGTAGGTTAATAAACCAAACATTTATGCAGCTTTCTTTACTAGCCAATTCCATGATCATGCAACGGATTGCTCCCTATTCACTCTTCTGCTGAAATCACTGGTCTGTGGGTGGAGACTTGGCATCGCTGAGCAAGTTTGGGGTGGAGGAATTTGACTGGTCCTGACCGATAGAACACCTTTGGGATGAGTTAGAGCGGAGACTGCGAGCCAGGTCTTATTGTCCGCCATCAGTGCCTGACCTGACAAATGCACTTCTGGAAGAATGGTCCAACCTTCCCATAGACACCCTCCTAAACCTTGTGGACGGCCTTCCCAGAAGAGTTGAAGCTGTTATAGCTGCAAAGGGCGGGGCCAACTCAATATTGAACCCTACGGACTAAGACTGGGATGCCATTAAAGTACATGAGCGTGTAAAGGCAGGTGGCCCAATACTTTTGGCAATATAGTGTAAAAGACAATGGGATGGGAATTCTATGCGTTATTGAACTGCAGCGGAGAAAAATAAAGTCTCCTGCCCTGCCAGACAAGGGTATTCTGTGTGGCAGAGCTGTGTAAATCTCAAGAATGGATGGACAGAAATACATATATTTTGGCAGCTAAAAACAAAACTCGTCTAACCGCTGGAAACTGCTAGAAAATGTAGGTTAAAAAAACGGCAGTTTTGCCGCGTTTGCATACTGCGTTTATGCGCTTTTGTGCTTAGAAGCATTTTTTAAAGATAACCTCAGGAGACCCTCCCAAATACCCATAATGCACTGAAAAATAGTAAATTATTAACTATTTCAGACATTTTTAGGGAAATAGAGCGCAGAAGCAGAGAGAACAGTATGTGTTGAGATGACCTGTCTTTTCTGGTTGTAGTCACTATGGATCCCATCATGAGCGTAATGCGGTGCGTTCTACCATTGATTCCTCCACGCAAAACCTGGAACTGACTGCGCCGGTGTACCGGGTCCATTTGAATACATGGAAAACGCTTTGCGTGCATTTCTGATGAAGAAAAAAAGACTCTGAACAGCATCTGGATATGGACCTGTCAAAAACGCAAACGCTTGTAAACGCGGTTAACCGTGTTTACACGCATTTAAAAGTGTTTTGTTTTTGAAACGCCGGTAAAATCTACTCCGGAATGCAATTTCGGTGCGTTCAAAAAAAAACAACTGTACACTCAACTGCCTGTAAACTAAACAACGATGTGTACATGGACACAGGAAAACAAAGGAGAGTTCAGGGGCTGCTGAAAAAAAAAACTCTCAACAGCTCCTGAACGTCAGCTTAGCAGCTGCAGTGTACATGAGCCCTTATATTATTATTATTATACAGGATTTATAAAGCGCCAATAGTTCGCTCAGCGCTGCTGTACATTACAAAGGGGGACAGAACATGTGACAGAACAATACCAATACAATGCAAAACATGAGGGGATCGAGGGCCCTGCTCTTTCGAGCTTACAATCTAGGAGATATATATATATATATATATATATATATATATATAGCGCCAAGAGTTTGCTCAGCGCTTTACAATATGTATTTGATCTAGGAAATCTAGGCCATTTGCCTAGAGCTCAGCTTTAAGATAAAAATAATTAGAGGGAATCGGTAAAATTAAGCCGATGTACCCCTTCAGCAATACCAGCACTCTATCCCATGTCTGGGAATGCACACAAACTGCAGATGAAACATAACAGCCAAGGTTACAGCCACAGCCTATATTGTTCAAGCCTGAAATTAGCAGATTTACGAAACAAAGGATACAGTCTGAGCAGGGAACAGCTACTATTAGCAGGATTTAGCTGTAATCTCATCTTCTCTGTAGGTAAAAACGAGATGAAAGGAGAATACAACACAAAAAAGTCATGACAAAAAGAGGTGTAAATGTGGATTATGGCAATGTTTTAGAAATGTCATGTTGTAAATTATAATATTGTCCTGGATGTGAAATAAACCCCTTTACAAGGAGAAGCACAAACAATAAAAAGGACATGGGCATTCATAATAAACTGCATTCTGCTAGTAAAAACACAGCTCGGTGTACATTCTTGGCACACCCTAATGCTGTAATAAATAAATTCTCTTGCGCATGCGCAGGGATTACACCATTCCAGTCGGGCCAATCTAGATGGCCAAAGATCCTGAACTTGAATGAAGGCCTATTGAAGATGTCAGCAGCAGGCGATGGGGTGAAGGGAGGCAAGTTCAGTTCTGCTTTAAAGCATACATTAACCTCCCTAGCGGTCTGATTATGTCCATATATCTGTGCTCAAAGCGGTACATTTTTTGCATGGAAATATGTTGTTTTTTTTATTGCAGGCCTGTAATTTGTAGGAATAACTCACTGAAATCTGTCCGAACAAGAGTCTAGTAATCATCATCCCGGGTATGTTAAAATTTGAAACACGAAATCATAAATTATAATTAAATAATCATAAAAAAAAATAATAATGTAGTAATAAATTTAATTCAATAATGTAATCAAACCAAAAACACTGAAATGTGAAATATAGCGCCAAGTTCGCACATCACTGAGCAAAGTCGCAGAATCATTTTCAGTGTCTGATGACGAATTTCCCCCACGAATCATTATCACTCAATTCTGCAAGTGGTTCTGATTTACTATCGCTGTTCTCTAGCCGATCTAAAACCGCTTTTGACCTAAAGGGACGCTTTTTGGACGCCATGGACGTTTCTCAGTTTCCAGGCAGAAAGAACAGTCAAAATGCAGGCAGGGCGCCGGACAAAGCACTCGGGACAAAATGTATGTGAAATGGTTTGATACAGGAATGTTATACTATGTGATTTTAGTGAATTTAGTGAATGTCACTTTTTGTCATTTTCAAATTTCCCGCCATTCCGCCCCCTGTACTACGTCCTGACGTCGTCGCAGGGGACGGAACCCAGAAGACAGATGCCGGCATCGGCCGGAGGACACTGCAGGAGGGACATCGCGGGAGCGCAGGACAAGGTAAGTGCAGAAGAGATCCCGGAGCAGCGCCGCATGGTATTCCTGAGTGTAGCTCGGGGTTACCGCTTGTGGTGCTGAAACTTTACCCCGAGCTACACTCGGGAATACCGTCAGGGAGGCTACTTAAATACTTTTTTTTGGATAAAGTAGGGAAAAGATAAATACTGTCCATATTTTTGGTTTTGCTATTGTTAGCTGTTTGTGACCCATTGAGGAAATGTTCCTTCACCTCTGGTGCCAGAGGCAAAACGTTTGAACAAATCTCTACAATTTCAAGGGAATCCCATCCTCAGCTAGCTGTCATTGAAAAACGTGAAACGGAATGATTTACCCTCAACAAATATTCTTTTGACAACTTAAAGCCCAACTCCAGGTAAAGAAAAAAGATCCCTATGCAGTGGGACTGTGCCTGCACTTCAAGGGATTAATTGCTCAATTACGCCTAGGGCAATAATAAAAAGAATCCTGAAAGCAGCTTTGGGTCTCCGCTCAGGCTTTCAAAGCCCTGTTTGGTGGGTCCCGTTGTGGGTGCGGACTTGATGGAAGTCCGTCCTGACTCCATACATAATGTAAGGGCGTAGGGGTAATGAACAATAAAAGGAGATATACTTACCTGATCCTTCACTGCTCCCTGCAGCTAGACCGGTCTCCGCAGCTTCTGCATCCCCATGTTCTATCAGTCTAGGGTCCTGACATCATGAAGTCCAGAGCAAGGTTCATAGCCCTGCACTGGACATGAGGATGCTGAGGGACAGTCCACCGCCAGATCTTAGGGACCAACCACCTGCTAGGGGAGCAGAGGATCAGCCATGTAAAACGGTTTTTCTCCTCTTACCTAGACAAAATGGGTGATTCACCCTTGCAGATTGGGCACTGCCCCACTGCAAGGGATAATTATTTTTCTGCCCATGATTGGACTTTAAAAAAATGTTTGCCATTTCCACATTTTCTGTCTTGGTGACAAATGTCACTAGGAAAAATAGATGGTAAATATCCCCTGTGGGGGCACAGGAACCAATTAAAACCCACCAAAACTGTACTCGCCGATCAAAAAAAAGGTATCAGTGCATCCCTAATTGGTAGTAGTTGAAGGAATAGTGCTTCATCATTGGTACTAGTTGGACGAATAATGTTCCATCTTTGATATTTGTTGGGAGCAATAGTGTCCCATCATCGATAGTAAATAGTGCTCAGCCACTGGCAGTAGTTGAGGAAGAGAACCCAATCATTGGTATTAGTTGGAGGAATAGTTCTTAGTTGGAGGAATGAAACTACATCATTAGTATTAGTTGGAGGAATGAAACTACATCACTAGTATTAGTTGGAGGAATGAAACTGCATCATTATTAGTTGGAGGATAAGTGCTCAACGATTGGTAGAAGTTGAAGGAATAGTGGATATCATTGGGAGGGAAAGTGCTCCATCATTGGTGTCAGCACTTGCCCCACTGTTCGTGTCCAGTGGGAAGAATTGTTCCTTGTAGTAGTGGGAGGAAGAAAGCCCCAAGGGCCAGAGAGGGGCAATCAAAGGGCTGCAGTTATGAGACCACTGCTGTACAAAGAATGGCTTATATGATGTGACATATCTCAAAGCTGAGTCAGCAGCTACAAATATACAGCCACTTACCTGTCCCTCAGCCCAGCAGTTTCCTCACCACCACTGGTTTCACCGGCCGTCTTCTCTCCCTGGCGCCGACATCTTCAGTTTTGGCAACCGGCTGTGACAGCTTGCGGCTTCACAGCCGGGTGCCCACCGCGCATGCGCGGGAAGCGAATGTGAATGGCCTCGTAGTCTTCTGGGACCTGTCACGTGTCCCAGAAGACTAGCAGCTCAACTTCCACTTCCGATCGCAGCAGAAGTGGGAGTGGGTACCTGTCAAGTTTGGGTACCCGCTCCCCAAAGGTGCCAATCCTTAATGGGAAGCGGGGGACAAAGACTTAAAGTGGAACTTTCCCTTTTGGGTGGAGCTCAGCTTTAACATGACATACCTTAATGACATCAGTTAATTTTGTACTCTCTATCAGGAGTATACTAATAATATAATGCATATGGATAAGTTACTTTGTACTTCTCCTGTACTGTATGCCTGTTAATAAGAAAACTGGAAAGAAAAATGTGTCTGCACTAGTTTTCTTAGTCCCCCCTGCAAAGTTCCACATATACCTGTTGATCCTGCCAATGAAGTTCACGTATTTCAGCTTCCTATGATGTGTGGCAATGCTGCACAGCTCTTGAATTCAGAGCAGAGTTGTCAGTCTTGTGTAGACTGTGCCTGCTTGCACCACAGCGAGATGAAAACATATTTAAGGGGGAATGGTTATCAGCATTATCGCTGCTAAATGGGACCTTGTATCAAATAACACAGTGGCTAAATGGTTAGCACTTCCGCCTGGCAGCACTAGTGTTGGTGGTTTGAATCCCAACCATGACACCACCTGCCTGGAGTTTGCATGTTCTCCCTGTGCGGGTTTCCTCTGGGTACACCGGATTCCTCCCACACTCCAAAGACATACTGGTAGATTAATTGGCTATGTATGAATGTGAGTTAGGGACCTTAGATTGTACGCTTCTTGAGGGTTAGGGACTGATGTGAATGCACTAAATATATGTAAAGTATTGGGCTGCCTGCCTTTCCATGCACACAAACTTTAATGGCATCCCAGTCTTAGTTCATAGGGTTCAATATTGAGTTGACCCCGCCCTTTGCAGCTATAACAGCTTCAACAAGATTGTAAGCTCCCAGGATCAGGGTCCTCCTATCCCTCTTGTATTGAACTGTCTGGTTGCTGTATTGTCTCCCGTTATATTGTAAAGCGCTGAGCAAACTGTTGGCGCCATATAAATCCTGTATAATAATAATAATAATATATAAATCCTGTAGAATAATAATAATATAAATCCTGTATAATAATAATAATAATATATAAATCCTGTGTATAATAATAATAATAACTCTTCTGGGAAGGCTGTCCACAAGGTTTAGGAGGGTGTCTATGGGAAGGTTGGACCATTCTTCCAGAAGCACATTTGTCAGGTCAGGCACTGATGTCGGGGGAGGAGGCCTGGCTCACAGTCTCCGCTCTAATTCATCCCAAAGGTGTTCTATGGGGTTGAGGTCAGGACTCTGTGCAGTCCAGTCAAGTTCCTCCACCCCAAACTGGCTCCTCCATGTCTCTATGGACCTTGCTTTGTGCACTGGTGCGCAGTCATGTTGGAACAGGAAGGGGCCATCCCCAAACTTCTTCACAGTCCTGGACCTTCTGCTGAGCATGTCCCCAGTCCTGGCTATCTCTTGTAACATGTCTGCAGTCTATGATCGTCTCTTGTACTAGGTCTGTGGTGTCTGAACTTCTCCTGTACTATATCCGTCAAATCTGGCCATACTCTGTCTTATATCCATGGTCTCTGGCCATCTCCTGTGTTAGGACCACAGCCTCTGGCCATCTCCTGTGTTAGGACCACAGCCTCTGGCCATCTCCTGTGTTAGGACCACAGCCTCTGGCCATCTCCTGTGTTAGGACCACAGCCTCTGGCCATCTCCTGTGTTAGGACCACAGCCTCTGGCCATCTCCTGTGTTAGGACCACAGCCTCTGGCCATCTCCTGTGTTAGGACCACAGCCTCTGGCCATCTCCTGTGTTAGGACCACAGCCTCTGGCCATCTCCTGTGTTAGGACCACAGCCTCTGGCCATCTCCTGTGTTAGGACCACAGCCTCTGGCCATCTCCTGTGTTAGGACCACAGCCTCTGGCCATCTCCTGTGTTAGGACCACAGCCTCTGGCCATCTCCTGTGTTAGGACCACAGCCTCTGGCCATCTCCTGTGTTAGGACCACAGCCTCTGGCCATCTCCTGTGTTAGGACCACAGTCTCTGGCCATCTCCTGTGTTAGGACCACAGTCTCTGGCCATCTCCACAGGTCCACAGTCTCTGGCCATCTCTATATGTGTGGCACTTTAGTGATGTTGAGGCTGCCCCCCACATCAAGAAAGTTTACCACCACTAGTCTAGACCATTATCTCCCATCAGCCATGTTTTTGTGAAACACACTGCAGAAGATTTCAGTACCAAATGGCTAAAAGATTAATTTCCAATGGTTGCTCTAGTGAGCACCATACTGTAGGTTTCTCCAGCTGGCAAGGAAAGACCACCCAGACACTAAGGGGGAGATTTATTAAAACTGGTGCACACAGAATCTGGTGCAGCTGTGCATGGTAGCCAATCAGCTTCTAACTTCAGCTTGTTCAATTAAACTTTGGCAATAAAACCTGGAAGCCGATAGGTGTCTATACAGAGCTGCACCAGATTTTGCACTGCAATTTTAGTAAATAACCCCCTATGTGGGCACATTATCACCACAATTTAGTGCACTTACAGTTTTGGTGATAAGGCCATCAGCCAAAAAAAAGTTGTGAGGTGCAATTTTCCCCAATGATGACAGACAGCAATAAATTCTTCCCTACTCTAAAAAAATTTTGGCTGGAGTTTCACTCCATTACCAAAAAAAAAAAAAAAAAAAAAAAAAAAAAAAGGGCTGTTATACACAAAGAGAACAAGACCCGGGGCCTCTGGGCCAGCTTGCAATGTTTAGAAAAAAGTATCATTTCCATGTGCTGCTCTACTCCTCCATCATCTCCCACTGAGCTGAATCTGACCCAGGGAGAGATACATATTACTAATCTACCTTCTCTTTATTAAAGACCTTCCATTAACATCATCAGTCACTTTATTTATAGAAGTGAAGTGTTTACAACCCAGATGAGTCTACTTTCTAGCTGGCTAAAAGACGGATTGAAGACATGAACTTTGGAACCCGCAGTTAAATTATAAACAGTCCCTAAGTGCCTGGAGCACAGCCTCTAGACTCCGTAAACAGACGCTGCATAATGGCCTATAGTAGATGAACGTAATCCAAGATAGCATACGGGAGCATTTCATTGAGCTAGAGCCAAAATTCTTTTGAAAACATTGCAAAGCTTTTTTTTAATACATAAAAAAAAAAAACGTTTTGGTGGCATTCCCAAAATTATTTACATTTTTTATTTTTTTTTCAGGATGAAGAGTTATACGAAA